TCTCTCTCTCTCTCTCTCTCTCTCTCTGTAAAGGAACAGTGAACACCAAACTTCCTTTGGGTTAACAGTTTTCATTTTTAGGAGGATTTTGGTGAAGGATAGTTAGGAGGTCCTTGTTATTAAAAGGGGTCGCGATGGTGACCCACCCAAAAAACCCTGCAAGTATACAAATTACTACAAAAAATTATGGAAGCCCATTTCCGCCACCTTGATAAAAAATAAAACTTGTTTTATTTTTTTTTTATCAGGGTAGCGGAAATGGGCTTCCATAAAAAATAATTTCTTATTAAGAAAACAAAACAAAAAAACTATCCATAAACTGAATTTTAAATATTTCTCTCCTTAAAATTCTGCTCGTCAAAGTCAATATCCTACGTAATAAAAGTGGCGATAAAAACAGAAATAACACGTTATGTCTCCTATTTAACACAAATATTATTTTGACATCTCTGACTAGCCAAGATTTTAAACCAATTTTATTTTCACTTTCATAGTTTTATATTTAACTGCATGTAGTTTTAACTGTCTAGAAATGATTTTTACCAGCTTCTAGCCAAGATTCGAATGTTTCTGTAGATATCACACATGTCTATGTCTAACTAAAAGAGCTTATAGGAATTYAAGTAGAAAACTGGAGGTTTGGGTTTAAGAGATGAATGAACCAATTGGCGGGCCGAGCTACTTAATGTAAAATGTAGAGGAGTAAAAGTCAAACGTAAATCTACTTAAGTAAATTACAGAAACATGAATTTAAGTAATTACTGTACAAAGTACTTGTACTTTGTTACATCCCACCACTGGTCTCAGGAGATTAGGAAGAAGATTATTGAGCAGTTAAAGGTAAAGGTTATCAGACCACCTCCAATCTGCTTAATGTTCCTGTAACTACYGCTGAACATAAACATAAAGTACAATTTGTGATATTCAGACTGTGCTTATCTAGCATGAAAACTACTAATGAGGTTGTTCTGACAAACGTATCCCCATAAGATACCCAGGATCTAATACAGATCATRTWAAATCCATTTTACAGTTGTTTTATYGGAGGCACCGCTCTTCTAAATCTGCTTAACCTCATGGTGCTGCTTTGAAGTTCAGCCTGACCTTTTACGTTTATGTGAGAGAAGATAAGAAATCAGTTTTCCCCAGAGGAGCTACTCGTTAAAACAGCAGATTAATCCAGATTCTTGCAGAAAGAAAAACATCTCTTGTTGCAGCTATACCGCTGGTTTATTTGGGCCCATAGAAGGACAAAGTATTAGACCTYTGTCAAAATAACTTAGGGGGGAAAAAAAGGTAAGAGATATTGTCTGAGACAGCCAAACCCAGGTTCAGCTCTGGGCTTATCAGACAAAGCCTTGATAATTTCATGCTCGGAACATGATATAATCCCAGAGAGATTGTTCCAGAGATAAAGGGGTTTCGATACTGAATTCCTCCCTCACTCATTGGGAAGTTTCAGCATCAACCAATTCAGAAAATCTAATCTAATCTTACTGTAAATGTGGTTTTTGTGTAGAAATACATCCTGCCAACAAATAAAACAGTTCACCGTCACATTATGTTATCTCTCAACCTGACAGGAGCACAACTCACATATTCCACTAAATYTATAAAATCTATGTTTAATAACTTTTTTTCATAAGCAAAGCATGACTCCATAGCATTACTAATGCTTAATCGTATTTAAACTGGCTTGTCAGCTCCAAATAACAACATATCAATCAAATAACATATCCAAACTTTTTTTTGTCAAGAGACGCTTGACATTTAATTTAGGACTAAAAGCTAAAATTGGAGGAATTTTTTAAACATATCAGAAGAAATCAAAACAAAATTTGTTGTTTATTATCAAATCCTGTCAAATGCAAAATGTCCTGAAAACAATAAACCCATCTGGTCTCTGAAGAAAATATCCTAAAGAAAAAAAACTAAAATAAAATAAATAATACAACAATATTATTTTTTTTATAAAATAAATGATGTTATTAAAACATTATCAATAACGGATTTACCATCTTTCTGGTTATTTTATTGTAAAGTCAAAAAAATTTTTGACAGTTTTGAAGCTTTACTGCCACCTAGTGGTCATAAGTGGATTACAGCATTTCTGCTCATAAAAAAAATCATAAAATGTATAAGTAGCTTCAAATATTAGAATTCAATTTGATGAAATGGTTTTTCATTTTAATAAATGACTTTAACACAAGCATCTAATTTATAAAGTAATTATAAAATAATTTAAACACCACATTTGATGCTTAAATGTCAAAAGTTATAACTTTTGTATTAAATGCAAAGTCAACATATTATTTTGGATTGCTTTTGCAGGATATGAAATGAGACTGGTGTTGGTTTCCTTGGATATATTCTTTATTTTTGTAGAACTTTTRCTTTTGCTAATAAACATATAATATGTTTCTCCAGCTACACTGGGCTGCATTCGTCTTATGCCCCCATAATAAATAAACACCATAGACCCTGAAGCAAAACAGCCTGGTTTGGAGTTTGATCAGGCAGATTCATTAGGTCGTACAAGTCGAGAACAGCCGATATGGAAAAATAATGGCAAATAAACACATAACTGTACAATAAATGAAACTTTAATAGAACCAAACATCTGTTAGACCACAAGTCTCTCTTACAAAAAGTTATGATGGAATATATGAGATAAAAGCTGCAGATGTTTTTTTTTTATCTCTTATAAGCAGTTAGGTTTATAGAGTTTTTAGTGAACTGACCCATTATGTGACGTGTTAGAGTGTTTTCAGTAACAGAATGACAGCAGAGCTTTAAGAAAAAAAATGTTTCAAATGAACCCAAGAGTTTTCTGTGATGAATACTTTCATGTTGCACAATTATGATCTAAAGCCTGAAGTCTGAGCTGATGAGCATCAGCAGATAAATATGATGTGACTGAATATGGATCAGGAGAGGCAGTTCACAGTTAATTGTTGAAATCACATAGGCCAAGAAGTCCAGCTCAAAAAAAAAGTCCTCATAGTGGTCCAAGAGAGTCCTGGGACTCCTGCTCGTTGGCAAGAATCGTCCGGCCGTTGTCGCTGTAGCTCCGGTTTGGCAGGAACGACAATCTGAAAGAGAGACACAAGACCTCTGTGGTTAACTTTCTTTAAAACAAAACAGTTATTCAGCTCCAAAAATAAACACTTCTGTAATTTATTCATGCATTTTAATCAGCGTGTGTAAAAACAGTCAGAGACGGAAAGATAAGAGTTTGGAACAGATTGTTGAAAAGCTGTAAAAATCCCATCAACTGGTGTGAAGACGCTCTTGTGAGTCAGTGGGAACAGAAGGGGAAGAAGTCATGGGAAATCAGAAAAGAATAAGAAGAAGTTTTTTGTTTTTTTTCAGAAGAAATCCAAGAGAGTTTAAGACTTGTTATTGCAGTGCCAATATATAACAGGTGCAAAGAAAAAAAGAAAAAAAAGCAGGCTATCACAGCCAAAAATGAACATATTTGATTGATTGAAGATAAACTGGGAAAAACTCAAGAAWACTAATTGTTTTAAGCATGCTGAAAATAGATTGTGATGTTCCAGAAGTTTCACAGCATTGGCAAACACAATAAATTCAAATTCTAAGCACCACAGATGCAACTAACAAGCTCAAAGTATGTGATGGGGATGTCTCTCYGCTCCCACTACACCAAACTGTAGCTTAATAACTTGACAAAGTTATGTTTTGTATTGTTTTCAGAAACGTTGATCAGCTGTAGAAATAATTTTGAATCAGCTTGATTTAAAAAAATGTATCAGTTGTAGATGTGCATCCAGTGATTGTTTTGCCAGAATTTCATWAAATTTCGTCCATTGGTTTATGAAATATTTTGTTAACAGACAAACAATTACACAAACAGTATATAGGTAACTACATGATCATTCACCTTGGCAGTGGGCAATAAAAATCTATTATTTAATAATGTGTTAAAGAGGCAACGCTACCATCTACAGTTGTCCCACTTGACATAAATACCTCTTTAATTAAACTTTCCTCCTTATGTTTCTGCAATAGCCAGTTTTTTTCAAGAAAGCAAACACATTCTTCCTTTTATGTCTGTACAGTGAGACTGTTTAAACATTTTAAAATTAAAATTAAATCCTTTTTTAAAGTAACATCAAACCAAACAACCATCCATCCTCTGTAACGACTTTAATCACTGGGACTCAGATCCTCAGTTTAATCAGGGAAACACTTAACTGTGTCGAGGCATACATTTGGGGGAAAGCAAGTAAAAATATCTGCATTATTTAGAGCTGAAAGGCAAATATGGCTTGTTTTTCTAGAAAACAAGCTACAGCATTTATCATGCATTATGCTAAGTGTCTATATAAGTCTATATGAAAAAACTGCAAATAGGCCAAAGGTATTCAAAAGCCTGTTTTGTCTTGAGTTGTGCTCCAAAACAAATGCAGATTTAAGTCATTATAAAACAAAAAAATTACCAAAATTGTATAAGTGGTAGAAAATACTAAAGAATTCCAGACTTCCGTAAATATTCTTCATCTTTCATTTTCTTTTGGCATCTTAAACCTGTGAGCACCATCTGTATGCATTTTAAAAGAAATTAGAAGTTTGTTTTGATGTAATTTTACACAGATATCCCTAAATTCTTCAAATAGATTATTTTTCTATTTTTATTCTAATACATCCAAAACCTCAGAACCTGGACTGAGCGATGACCACATTTGCTAGCTTGATCGGGAATCTAGTTTAAAGAAACAGAAAACAGAATACGCTCGAAACCTGTCTGAATAAAAATGCCTTTAGTTAAGAGTCTCTGGAGTCTGTGCAGCAAAGGGACAGTAGCCTCAGTACCACTGCCTGAAAATGTCTCCAAAGAGTCTCAAGAAGGTCTCTAAAGAGTCTCAAAAAATTCTCAAAAAGTATCCATGTAGTCTTTAAAATGTCTCTATAAAGTCTCAAACGAGTCTCAGTCGTCAAAAAAATTTCAAAATAGAAGTATCTTTAATTCCTTCAAAAAGTGTCCAAAGAGTCTCGAAAAGTATCTAAATAGTCTTTTAAAACTTCTTTATAAAGTCTCAAAAGATTCTCCAAAGATTCTGAAAACAGTTTTTCAAAAGTCTCTATGAAGTCTCCAAAGAGTCTCCAAAGTCTTAAAAGAGTCTCCAAAAAGTCTCAAAATATTCTTTAAAAAGTCTATAAAATCTCCAAAACATCTCCAAAGAGTCTCAAAAGATTCTCAAAAGTCTCTAAAATCTCTCAGAAATAAGTAAATAACCTTTATTTACATAGCACCAACACAAATGTCACACATTTCTTCACAGAGAGAAAAATAACTACAAACAATGAAATCAAAGAATGAAATTATAAACCAACATTTCAGTTTCACGCTAGTGAAATCACAGCGACACAGCTGGAGAAACCTGTACTTTTTTTTTGTCACAACAAACTACAGCTCCCTTAGCAGTGTTTACATATTTGGTATGGTTTGTGAGCAAAACATGTACATGTCATGCTTAAATCATGGACAGAAGGCCGAGGCAAATGTTTCTGGCTCACTCATCAGTCCATATTTACACCCACAGACATTAGGTTTAGAGTACGGGTCTTCTCTAAGTCCCGGTGTGTGTGTGTGTGTGTGTGTGTGTGGCTTCAGTACTGAAAGTCTCATCTACAGCACAAAACCCTGAAAAAAATCATTAGTCTCATCACAGGAGGATAACTAAACAAAGATGAGGAGAGAAGTGGAACTTTCCCACAAGTTAAATCCAGCCGGGCTGGCTTTGTGTCCTGAGAGTTTAGTGGTTAACTAGACCCAATTTTCCCCTCTAATCTCTATTTTCTTTTATTTTTCCACCATTCACTGAAAAAAAGAAGAAAAATGTATAGCAGAGACAAAAATATTTTGCTTTTCTTGATAGTGTTCTAGTGATATATGAAGTTTGAAAGCAGCACATGTTCTCCAAAAATGTGTGTCCCTTGTGATACAAATTTAAATCTACAGAAAACAACTATGGCTCCACGCTCTCCTTGGAGGCAAAGGAGGAAGAAAAAAGTCCCTGCTATGTTGTATTTGATTAATTTGTCTCATGGGCTATTTCGGTTTAATTCTGTTACTAGAAGTAAGAGTTTAGCCTCTATATGAACCCTAATAGACCAAAAAAAAGTGACATAGTGTTTCATGTTTCATGTGATCATTACCTGCACTGTCTTTTCCCACGTTTTTTTATTTTTTATTTTATTCCCCCTACTATGCAAACACAGATGAGCTATTTTGGTAACGGGTCAAATACTCCAGCAGGAGTAATTCTCTTTCTCCTTCTAATCCCTCCAAAAAAACATCAACATCTGTGTCCTCCGCAACAGACACCAAGTCATTTACAAACAAAACATCAACTGATCTGTTWAAAGAGATCACCAAAAGATAGAGAGGAGTTTTGTGTTCCTTTCATTTTGTCCCAATATCTTTCGGGGACATAAAATAATCACATTTTATCCTCTCTCGCTTCAGTTTCAGAGCTGAGGTGGTGTGAAGTTACTGTGGATGAGGGGAAAGAAAATGTGCTTTCTCTACATAAATACTGGTTAATATTTTGGAAAAAGTGGCAAAATTCACATAAATGCTTCAGCGGTGAGAGACCAGCCACTACTGCTTGATGTGTCGGTACAAATCACCGGGATGAGATCGTATGATCTTGGATATGATACGGTGCTTAGTATCCYATGTCATATTCTTCATTTCACTCTGCTCCACCTCTGCACTCCTCTCTCAAGGTGTTTGTGCAGTCTGCTGTCTGATGACTTTAGGAAAGTGTGGAAAATCCACTTCTTTCTCCAAACAGAATTGGTTTTCTTAGAGAAGACCGAGAAAGATTTTATCTGTCTGAGCTTTAGACTTGATCCTTTCCAGTTCCATTGAAGTTAAACCAACTCACTTCCTGCGCAGATATGGACTATCTGATAATGACAGGCTGCTTTTAGACTTTGTGTGTGTGTGTGTGTGTGTGGGGGGGGGGGGGCACGACAGGGTTTTCCTACAACGTGTGGACAATTTTCCTAAAAAAAAGCAACCTTGTGGGGACCGAAGTGAATCGTGGGGACCACTGCCAGGTCCCCACGGGTCCAAATGCAAATTACGGGTGTGGGGTTAGGTTTAGGACCAAGGTTTAGGTTAGTTTTAGGGTCAGGTAGGTACCCGTGAGGTTAATTTTAGTGTATATGGTCAGGGTTAGGCTATAAAGTCTAAAAAACATGAATGGAAGTCAATGGAAGGTCCCCACGGGGTCAAGAAACAAACATATGTGTGTGTGTGTCCTTGTTTTTCCTACATCTTGGGGGCCCAGTTTTAAGGAAAACGCAGCCTCGTGGGGTCCGGGTGCTCCTTGTGGGGCCCAGGCTTCGGCAAAATTAAACTGTATGATCTTTACTTGGATGTTTAATTAAATTTCATTATGTTTCCGCATTTTTCTTAGCTGAAATATTAATGAATGAAATCAAATAAATGCTGCAAAAACAAAATGTTTTATAAATTCCTAAAAGAAAAAAAGGTGGAAAATCTTAAGYTTTTTATGAGCCGAACTGCTTCACTGATATAAACTCTGTATATTTGAAAACCAATAATATAGTGCCTTTTAAAAGAAAAATACCATTTTCTGAGAATTAATTTATATTTACCTGAGCTGAACTACAGAGAACAACTGTAACTTTTCTTCTCCTTGAGGGAAACGTTCCCTCAGCAGAAGTTTCAAGTTAAAATACTTGATCACGGCAATGAAAAGCTGACACAAGAAAACCCAAAATGAAATTTCGGCTGCACACAATGCTCAGGCTTACGGTCAGATTTCAGCTGAGCCTTTTCCTCTTCTGAACACGATTGTTTTGGACTTTTTTGTGCAGACTGAGAAATGTAAAGTATGCGCTTCACCTGAAGCTAAAACAAGCTCAGCAGTTAAAGATTGACTCGTGACCTTTCTGCTCACCACTGATAAAAAACCAAACGCTGCAAGGAATAAAAAAGCAGTGATGTTACTTGTTTGCATTTGTTTTCCCTAAAATAGTCTCTAATATTTATTTTAGTTACAAATAGCCAAACACAGCAAGCATGACCCAG